TTTCCCTTTGTATTCATTGTTTTGGTGAATTACTGGAAGATGGCAGTTCTGGCGAACAGTAAGGAGGTGGAACCCCAGTGAGTGCCTTAACAGGGCTTGCAGGCAGCCTGTGTTGCCACTGCAAAGAAACGCCAAGCAAAAGCAAGTCTTTTCTAGGAAAGGAATCATCCCTGGTAACAGTCTCTGAAAATACTTTCTTTCCTTTTGGGACAAAAGTGCCATTGGCCAACACAAGCTAATACTTGTATCACATTAGATAGCCTGGAAAGGGGTCTTAGGTTGTCTTTTTTAAAGAGAGAAACAGTCTCTAAGATTTCTCTTACATTATAGAATGCCAGCATTCTATAAAATGTATTTTTATTGAGAATCTATTTGTTTTTTAACAGGAAGTTTTTGCCATTTTTATTGCCAGAAACAAAGACCACATCTATTCTTCAAAGTTGCCATTACTAAATATGTACTCATTTAATCATATTCTACTGTGTGCCCAATTTTGTATTTATTTAGCTATGAAGAAGATATGCCTTGGGACCAGCAGGTGGCGTAATGGTTACATATCTGGATTCCCACATAGTTAACTGTGGTTCAAGTCCCAGACCCAGCAGCTTGAAATTCACAGCAAGCACATGTGCATGCATGCCCAAAATTCCAAGAGGAGACTGGGGGAGAAGGGATTGCGGTGTGGCCATCCCCCTGGGGGTGATTTCCTGCTTCTGTCTCTCTCTTTCTTTCTGTCTCTCTGGCGAGTACATGTGCCCTATAACAAAACTCTCTCTCTAAAAAAAAAAGATATGCCTTGTCTTCAGGGGCATAAATAGCTAATTTCAATATAAAATGACAAGTAGTAAACTAGAGTTATACCTCAATTTTTCTTCTTCCCCATATGTATTTACAATAGAAAGCAGAAGGGAAAACGCTATTCTAAAGTTAAATGGCGGGGGTGGGGGGGTGGGCAGCAGGTGGCATGGTGGTTAAGGCACTGGAATTCCCACATTGCTGACCTCGGTTCGAGTCTTATAGTTGGTGGCTTGCTTCTCTTGGTCTCTCTCTCCCTCTGTCTTTCTCTGGCAAAACTCATGTGGAAAAAAATAATAAGTAAATAAAATAATTCTTTTAAAAAAACAGCTAAAGTTAAATGGTTAAATGTAATCGTCTTTGACTAAGACCCTGGATACCAATTTGTATAGGATTTTAAAAAATTACTAATGATAATGGTATTTTTTTTTAATTGCCAGAGCGTGCATGTGTTCACTGGAGAGGGATGGAAAGACAGAGTGAGTGAAGGAGAAAGCATTCCCCCCAGGGGTAAAATCATGCTGCACTCTCTTAGTCACTATTTCTTCAGCCTTGCAGGATTTTTTGAGCATGCATGCACACGTGCCCGTGTGTATTGCAAACCACCTTGGCTGGGATTCAAACAGCAATCAACCATATGAGATCTAGCTCCCTTGACTGCTGGACTGTAGAGCTGGCCCAGTAATGATATCATTTACGATGTAACATTTACACCTAATAATTCAAAGTAAAGAAATCTGATTCAGGAGCCTGCATATTTAGCCATATGCAGTGCTACCTTCCTTGAGCCAATGTGAATTCATTTGAAAAATTTAGATACTTATTTAAGAAGGAATCAGAGATTAGTCTTTTCTAAAGTCAAATTGTTTTTAATTACATGAAAGACATAGTTTAGATTAGAAATAACTTGAAATTATGAGATCACACTCAAAAAAAATCTATCTTTCTTTGTTCCAGGATGGTGAGATGGTGCTGCTGGACGGGGGTTGTGAGTCTTCCTGTTATGTGAGTGATATCACCCGTACCTGGCCTGTCAATGGCAGGTAAGGCTTCTACAGAGTGTCATATTCCACTGCTTCTTTTTTTTTTTTCTTTTTTTTTTTCTTGAGAGGTTTTCGCTATAGGGCGTGTGCACTCACCAGACAGAGAGACATAGAAACAGAAAGCGAGAAATCACCCCCCAGGGCGGATGGTCATGCCGCAATCCCTTCTCCTCCAGTCTCCTCTTGGGATCTTGGGCACGCACGCACACGCGCCCGGCGTGAGTTTAAGCCACCGGGTCCGGGACGCGAACCGTAGTCGACTACGGGGGAGTCCAGCAACATAGCCATTACGCTAACTGCTGGTTCCCATATTCCACTGCTTCTTAGGAATGAGTTGGAATATGGAAATATTTGGAATAAATTACTTAAAAAATATACAGGTCCCTTCTAGATCAGGTTAACTGCCTTTGCAAAGTTTCTGATTACTTCCTGATAACTTTTGTTCCTCATATCATAAGATTAGGCACCCTAAAACTCATGTTAACTTTAATATACTTGATTAATTGATTGATTGGTTGTTTTTGCCATAGGGTGTGTGCACTTACCAGAAAGGAGACAGAGAGGGAAAGTGAGATACCACCCCTTGGGGGGATGACCATGGCACAATCCCTTCTCCTCCATTCTCTTCCTAGGATTTTAGAGACGTACACACATGTGCCCAGCATGAGTTTCAAGCCACTGGGTCCTGTACTCAAACCATGGTCAGCCATGTGCGAATCCAGTGCCTTAATCACTATGCCACCTGCTGGTCCCAACACACTTTTTTTTTTTTTTTAAATAAATTTGAACAGTTTTTTTTTTTTTTTTTTTTTTCCCCTTAAGGGCCAAGTAAGGGTGTAGTAGTTAAATAGCTAGATCCCAAATGGCCAACTGCTTGGTTTGAGTCCCATACCCAGCGACTTGAAAAATATTCCAGGTGCATGTACATGCATGCCCAGAATTCTGAAAGGGGAATAAAGAAGGTGTTGTGGTGTGGCTATCCACCCTGGGGGGTGATTTCTCCCCTCCCCCCTCTCTGATGAGGCCAAGTAAGGGTGTAGTAGTTAAATAGCTAGATCCCAAATGGCCAACTGCTTGGTTTGAGTCCCATACCCAGCGACTTGAAAAATATTCCAGGTGCATGTACATGCATGCCCAGAATTCTGAAAGGGGAATAAAGAAGGTGTTGTGGTGTGGCTATCCACCCTGGGGGGTGATTTCTCCCCTCCCCCCTCTCTGATGAGTGCATGCACACTCTGGCAAATTATAGAAAAAAGTTTTGTGGCTTTTTTTTTTCTGATTACTTAAGTAATATTTAGGGGCCAGCAGATGGTATAGATGTTAAAGCAGCTGGATTCCACATGGTTGGCTCTATGGTTTTGAGTTCTGGATCCAACCACTTGAAAACCACACCAGGCACGTGTGCATGCATACCCAAGATCCCAAGAAGAAAATGAGAAGAAGGGATTGCAGTGTGGTCATTTTCCCCTGGAGGGTGCTTTTCCTGTCTGTCTGTCTGTCTGTCTCTCTCTCTCTCTCTCTCTCTCTCTTTCTCTCTAGCAAGCACTTGTGCCCTGTATCAATTATGAAAAAAAAAAAAAAATCCTTAGGTATCCTAGTGTTCCAGTTAGCATAGAAGCACTTTAAAGTAGCTATTATGTATATGTCCAAGACATTAAAAAATGTTCACAGGGCCAGCCCGTAGTGTGGTAGTTAGACGGCTGGATCCCACATGGCCATCTTCATGGTTTGAGTACCAGACCCAGTGGCTTGAGAAGCACACTGGACTTGTGTGTGCGTGGCCACCCAAAATCACAAGTGAAGAATGGAGGGGAAGGGATTGTAGCGTGGCCGTTTCCCCTAGAGCGGGGGCGGAGGAGGGTGTTCTCACCTTCTCCCTCCCTCCCTCTCTCTCTCTCTCTCTCTCTCTCTCTCTCTTTTTCTCTCTCTCCCAGTCCCCCAGCAAGCGCACTGTACCAACAACACAAAAAGATAAAAGCATGATGTGCGAATAGGTCATCTCCATGAGAAATGGAAACTATAAAGAGAATCAGGGATTCTAGGGCAGATGGCAGCATTAGGATAATTTTTCAATCTTTCCAAATCATCAAATTTTTAAAAAGCAACTATATAGCAAAACCAAACATCCGGTAATAGGTAATTTTATCAACACAAACCTCAAAATACACAAACATCCCGTCTATAACAGTATATAATTACCAGAATCAAGGCTGTGTTAAATTATATATCACACAGCCTGGGTTCTTTAACAGATTAATTATAAGGAAATGAAAAAGGAAAAGGAGGAATCTGTTGAATAAAAGAAACTTAAAGGCACATTTCATTTATTTTAAATGATCAAGAAAATAATCTTTTTTTTTTTAAAAGAGGTTTTTGCTATAGGGTGCGTGCGCTCGCCAGAGAGAGAGAGACATAGAGACAGAAAGCGAGAAATCACCCCCCCAGAGGGGATGGTCACGCCGCAATCCCTTCTCCTCCATTCTCTCGGGATCTTGGGCACGCACACACACGCACCCGGCATGAGTTTTAAGCCCCCGGGTCTGGGACGCGAACCGCGGTCGACTACGTGGGAGTCCAGCGACATGGCCATTACGCTAACTGCTGGTTCCCAAGAAGAAAATAATCTTGAGATACGTATTTAGGTGATGAAAATACTTTTAAAAACAGAAGGAATAGGGAGTGACTGCTAAGAGATACAAGATCACTGGGGAGGAATGATAAAGATGTTTTGTAATTAAGATAGTGGTAATGGTTGCATAATATCATGAATATATTAAAAAGTTCTGAACTGGGAACTAGCAGATGGCGTAATGGTTGCATTGCTGGACTCCCTCATAGTTGACTGTGATTTGAGTCCCAGACCCGGTAGCTTAAAGCTCACACAGGCGCATGTGTGTTCTTGCCCAAAATCCTGAGAGAATGGAGAGGAGACGGGATTGTGACATGGCCATTCCCTCTGGGGGGTGATTTCTCGCTTTCTGTCTCTGTCTCTCTTCATCGAGTGCACACGCCCTATAGCAAAAAGCTCACTTTAAAAAAAAAGAATTATTTTATTTAACTTTATTTTAATTTAACCAGAGAGGGATAGAGAGAAAGAGGAGTGAGGGAAAGTAAGAAAGTAGGCTGCCAGGTCCCGGACTTGAACTGCAGTCGGTCGTGTGGGAGTCCAGTGCCCTTAGACACCACACCACCTGCCGGCCCGAAAATCTCACTCTTTAAAAAAAAAATGTTCTGAATTGTAAATTTTTTTTTTGTCCTCTTTTTGCTATAAGACACATGATGTACTTGCTAGAAACAGAGACAGAAGGAAAGTGAGGTGAGGGATGGCCACATCTCAGTCACTGCTCCTCCTCTCCTCTCGAGGTTTTGGGCACACTTGCACACATTTCCTCTTTGTCAAGCTTCCAGGTCGGGAACTCAGGCCGCAGTCAGCCACATGGGATCTAGCACCTTAACCACCATACTACTTGCTGGCCTCCTGAATTGTACTTTTTTTTTTTTTTCTTTTATATATTGCATGAGTACTCACCAGAGAGAAAGAGAGAGAGGGAAAGTGAGAAAGCAAGCTGCTAGGTCTGGGACTTGAACCATGGGGAGCTATGTGGGAGTCTAGTACCTTAACCACCATGCCACCTGCTGGCCTCAAATTGTACATTTTTTTTTTAGAGAATCATTTTTTATTTAATTTTATTTGTTGTGATTATTTTATTTATTTTTATTTTTTTGAAGTTGACCAGAGAGAGACAGAGAAAAGGAAAGTAAGAAAGCAAGCTGGCAAGTCTGGGACTCAAACCACAGTTAACCATGTGGGAGTCCAAATGCCTCAACCATTACGTCACCTGCCAGCCCCAAATTGTACATTTTTTTAAATGGGTAAATCTTGCCATGTACGCAATATATCTCAATAAAAATAATAAACACATACCAGTAAAAAACACAGGAGGTGATTATAAAAGTTACTTTTTTGGGGGACCAGCAGATGGCATAATGG